AGTGAGATAGTCAGCTACAAAAGCTCGACTGACGTGAGAGCAAATCCTCAAATCAAACGTTGAATTTCAAAGGCCTAGGTTATCGTCCTGCTTTTGCCGAAAAAGTAAAGTATCAGGCTTCGAGCTCGGTCTTCGATGAGGATGCTCCGTTCTGACTAGTTTTTTAGATATTAGTTCAACTAATTTAGTTGTTCAGTAATATCACCGACGTCTTTCGGGGGGCTTGCCTTTCCAACAAGCTGTGATCCATCCTAAAGACTCGTATTAACTTGATGTTGTATGATGAACCGTCAAGTTAGTGGAGCCTGACCTCATAACCTCATGGAGGTGGTGTTCTTAATAGGAACTTCTTATTCCACTTTTTCAATTTGAAAATTTCTAACTAGTTAGAAAACTGTTGAGCAATAGTGAATACATTCCTAGTATTGCGGTACACACCGAATCAGGTCTGCCATACGAATGTGAGACAGGCGCGAATGGTTTGTTCAAAATGCCTTAGTGGTACGGCAATGTTACCGTGGTAGTTCTGTGTAATAACTGGACCAATACATAGTGATTAGTACCAGTGGCACTGTACTACCGCAGAACTATAGTGTCACGAACCACGACGCCGTCGTAACGACGGCAAATCTTCGTCAACACTTCTCTCAAAAGTATTCCTGAGTTAAGTCACTCAACGAGACTAGCTAGCACGGTGCTAGTAGCACCTACTGATCAGCCCCACCGTAGTATTGATGAATAGTCTAGGCCAGTCTGACTAGCACATGATAACACCACTGAATATTTTACATATCTCTTGTTCGTGCTCAGTTCATGTGGATCGTGTAACGCGATTCGCGTATGTAATGTGGGAATGACGTACGAGGTAGTAATATATGAGCGATGATTTGCTGCATTAAAACACTCCATGGACATAGACATCTTTGGAAACACATCTTTACTGAAAATTCTCCGTAGCCTACGGACCGTAGGTGTAGGTTGTACAATCCTGGTAATATTGAACCCCGTTTTGCAGTTTCCGCCAGAGCCGGATGGCTCGCCGAAACCGCCTCCACTCCCCCTCACTCAAGTCTTTTTTGGGGATAGATCCGAGAGTTTGCGGATAGCGAATTCTCGTCATTGGAACTCTTACTACCACGTTATTCTGTGAGTTTCACTAGAAGCTTTCTAGTAGAAAGGATCGAAATAGAGTTTTGATGGGATATATCAGATGTGATATGATCACTATGATATGAGCGATGCCAACTTCAGGACGGAGGACGATTCTCTTACTTTTCTGGCAGCAGGCCTGGCTAGATCGATTCTTTCATAGCTGTTGGAAGTGCGCACAAATAGTGTATGCAGAGATATCGCTCTCCATGTACCATCGGGAGTGCAAGAAGCACCGACAACAAGATTATGAAATAAGGAAACACAGTGTAGAGAGAATAAAAGCTCACTTCACAAGGTATTTCAGTCAGCCTCAACCATCACAGGGCTCAGTGAGCCGGCTGCGTGAGCCCGGCTCACGCATTGTGCGTTAGTGTGCGAGAACAATGGCCGAACTGTCTGCGGTGAACCACCAGCCTCTTATATTTTCCTTGTTGTAAAACAGCCTCAGATTCCATCCAATGGCGATCTGATTCGATGGTGAATGCCACAGTCGATCAACTCGGATATTTTCCTCACTCAATCTTTGTTGTCCGAGTCGGACAGTCCAACGTTAATGACGAGTTGGTCAGTACATGACGTGGAGATGGACACATGAGTAACTGATACTTCTATGCTTCAACGTGTGGCTTGTTGAACTGGTTCTGGTCAATGACCACCCGATGATTTATGAGTCATAAATTATGACCAGTGGTCATAAATCATCGGGCCCGTTATCATTTGTTTCGCATCAATATGATTATCGCTCTGATTTCCGCGTTCGCCTGCATAGTAGCAATCACTGATGCCGGCGGCCTTAGGAACGAAGGTACCGTGTTTGAACTCAGGCCGTTACCATCCATCGATTATCTTCAGGTGAGACGCCCGCGTTTCATCATCTCCGTTCTCTGAATGGCGGCGGGGTCTTGTGCCCAGGCAGCAAGGGTAAACAGGAGTTTGGATACACACGTCGCGGGCTTAATAGGTAAGTATATTCAGCGTGCGGAGTGGAAATCATAGTCTTGCTGCTCCTAGGTACTTCTACGCGGTTATGGAAGCCGAAGACGTAGATCCAGCATCGGCACCGACCTTCTTGTACATGGCTGGTGGGCCGGGCAGCAGTAGCTTGGGGACGGCCATGACTAGCAGTGGGCCATGCAGGATGTCTCCTAATGGGGAAGAGCTCCTAAATAATACGTGCGAATGTCCTTTTGCGGTGTCAATGACACCGTGTCATGCAATGTGACCGTTCGGCGTTAGATACTCGTGGACTAAGCAAGGCAACAGCATTTGGATCGATGCGCCTGGACCTACCGGGTTTAGCCTGGGTCCGATAGAGACCAGCTTGGAGGAGTTCATCAACAACATGTGGGCATTTTTCAGATCAGAGAATAAATTCATCACAATAGTCCTCCACAGGGTCATCGTGAGCGGCCAGTTATTCAAGAAGTACCCTCACTTGAACAGGAATGTACACCTCGTCGGGACATCATCGTCTGGTATGCACGCCGAGCTAATATTGCGCCTGATACCATCCTGCAGCTCTCTTCGTTGCTATGCTGGGAGAGGGCATCCTGCGAAATCCGCAGCTCAAGATCGATTTGAGAGGAGTGATGTTGTATTCTGGTGTAGTTGGACCGTACGAGATGTGAGCAATCCATTCATTCCGAGTTGACATTGTTGACTGGCTCATCTTGCCAGATATCACGGAGCTTACGAGATGGCCCAGAAACGGACACTTCTACCTCAGAAGGAGTCATGGTTCCACAATGTGCGTTGGTCGTATAATTTTCTTAGGCTCGATACGATGAAGACTAGCTTGAAGAACTGTAAAACAGCAGTCGACAAGTGCAATTCTAATGGACCTGGAAAGCCTGCTAAGCCCGGTGGGCAACGTTTATCTCTAACCTAAGCACTTTCGACAATCATGCTCTGTTTCTTGTAGCTAATTGCAAAAATGCTATTGCCACTTGTGACGCAATCACGATGGACCCTATGGGGCGAATAAACAAGAGCCTGTAAGTGGGCGGGTCGGAATGAGCCGACTATTCTGGCTACCAGACTCCTTTATATCACATGTAGTTCCCCTGTGTCTTCCGGGATATTCCCATCAACCGAGCCACTATTTCTTCTCCAGATACGATGTACGTGCACGAAAAGGCGAAGATTTCGTATTTTACGCTTTAATACCAGGAGATGTAGTCGTCATTGCAGGTCTCAATTTCGGAAGTTGTCATCCACTCAGGCGACCGGTTTTCTCAATAAGCCACGTGTTAAACAAGCTCTCGGCGTGTCTAAAACTTGGAAGCCACTGGATTATGAGGTTGCCATTCTTCCAATTTCGGGTTCCGTGTGAACATGATAGTTTCATACCAGGTCGTACGAGACTTCAGTAAGTACTCCGCCTATGATGGGAGTTTTTTCGTCACACAACTCCTCGACCACGGATTAAAAGTGAGAATGATCTGAGATCATCATCTCTGGAATGCACCGTGACTATGGAGCTACGAACTCGGTGGCGGTATGCGCGCCGCGGGAGGGGGACATGCGAGTCATTCGACTGCCCGTCGTGACAGAATCGCGATATCTCAAATTCTCATAAACCCAACGAAATTCGAATGGTAAATTCGATGATGTAGTTAATATTGGACGGAAAGGTTTGACCAAATCCACTAATTTTGATATTGAACAATATGTACGACCGTACATAGTACGGTATATCACTGCTACAGGTGCTTGCGGTCAATGGCGATCAGGATTATATCACGAACGCGGTGGGAACGACCGAGTGGCTGTTCAAGTTGAAAGGAAGGGAGGGGTACGGCGAAGCACTCCAGCATTCAAGACCCCAAGATATCAAGGTCAGGAGTTTCCTCTATTCCAGTGCCATCTCCTAGCACAACGTCTGTGCCGGAGACTCTGTTTCAGTATCCTGGAATTGGCGTCGTAGGAACGTCGCGCACTTCTCACTACCATAATGGAGCGAAACTCGCATTTGTCGAGGTGGAAAGCACATTATGGTAGGAATCATTGAGGGTGTCTGTTCAGGTGAAGAACGCAGGCCATCGAATAATGCTCAATCAACCCAGAGCGATGCAAGAGATATTCCAATCTTTCCTCAGCGATAAGCTCTGGTGATACGGAATCACTCACCAGTAGAATGCTGGCCTGGACACCTTTCACTCTTCAACAGTTAGCGCTCAATACCACGAATTTTCCTCATTTCGCCATCGCTCGATATTCCCGATTTTGGGCTTATCATGCATTTGATCCCAGAGATTTAGGCGCCAAGTTATTTTCTCGATATTTCCTATTTCGCCGTCATTGAGAATTTGTTCTCAGGGACCTAGACTATGACGCAAATATGTCCTGTGTTACAGTCAATTCGGGATTATTATATCGGGAAAAAGTGGCCTTGACTCGTATGGGGAGT